TTTAGCAAAGTCAGAATTCAAGAAGACGCCAGGGCCTTCTTGAGCAATGTAAAATTGGGCCATGTAATAATGGTCCATTAGAAAGCATTATACTACAAAAGATTGATTAGTAGGACAATGATATATCCAAATTGCATAATGAATATTCTATAGTAGCCAACAAGGCCCAAGAATCCCTAGGTTGTGGATTATATCGTTCAGATCAATCGAACTACCTGGACTTTCTTCGAGTGTGGGCTATCGGAGGCATCCATAATATGCCCCAAATATTCAATGCTGGGTAGATTGAACAAGCATTTAGTGTGCTTGAAATGGAATTTGTTATATATGAAGCTGTATGATACTATGCGAAGGTCACCAATGCGAATAGCAAATGGGTACTATATGCCAAGATGTCGTCTATAAAGGCAATGATCAATATACAAACATATGAATTAAGCATAGTATTTATGGCGTTTTGAAAGGTGGCAGATGCATTTGTAAGACAAAAAGACACGATGAATTTATAATGTCCTTCATGTGTGTGGAATTAAATTTTTAGAATATCCAATTCAACAAATATAATTTGATGGCTCAATCACAAATTGACCTTGGAAAAAATGGTGGCACCATCAAGCTCATTGAGCAATTTACCGATGGTGGGTATGGGGAATAGGTTTTGAACTGTCTTTCTTTTAGACCAAAAGAAGAGAATGAGTTGGTGCTAGGGAAGATTAGCCTCTGTGATAGCATGTCTTGAACCATGGATTCAATTGCAATATTTTGGAAGTGATGGTAATAATATAGTTTAATTTAGATCAAGGATGTTCTTGGATGTAGGCAAATTCGGTGATTGACAGGTTTGTTTCGTAGAAGGTGGATGAATGGCATGTTGTGAGTAATTTTTAAGTAGGGAATTGGTTGTGGAGTACGAGGCAGAGGGCTAGATTGGTCCATCCATAAATGAATGGTAAGGTAGTGCGCTTAAGCAAGGCAATGACACCTGTGGTCTATAGTTTTATAATTGATGTAAAAATATTTATTAAATGGGTTAAGTGTGCACACCATGGAGTTAAGATGGTTTTGTTTTGTCACATGAATTTTATGGAAAAGGAATTGTAGTTGGCAGTGACTTCTTCATGAAGTTGGAGCCATTATACTCCCAATAACATGTCAACACCTTAGTGGTAGTACATATAAACCAAGAACCATATCAAAGTTCATTGGAGTTTTGTAGCATTCCTTCTATGAGGAAGGTGTTGGGTAAAGGATTGGCAACTAAGTTGATAGTAGTGCATGTTTCAGTAGGGAGATCATAGTTATTGTGAGAGTTGCAGGAGGAGATTCATCCAGTGGTTGGCCTGCTGATTGGTCATCATCATCAAGATTGTAAATAGAAAGATTTTACCTTTGGGATGTGATCAAGAGTGCATTTCTCATCACTGTAGTAACAAAATTCATTTTTGCAACAATCTAGCATTTCGGAGATTGTTAACTAGCAAACAAGAACATGTGGTTTGGGAAAACATACGGAGGCTAGTGACAAAAGTACCAGGTGTAGTTTAGAGGAACGACTTTGAAAAGTACAGGGGCAAGGCCTAATATGAATGATTTAATATTCAGCTTGTTATTAATCAACTTCACAAGCTTAATTGCCTGATCCAATGAAGTTGATCAATGAATACATGCTTCCTTCCGGATATTAGGGGAGAGGTCATATTCAAAACAACTCTATAGAAAATAGCTCTTTGATCCTATGAATTTGATTAGAGATTTGTTTGAATTGTTTTAGATAATTTTGCAAGTTCGACATTGAAGTCACCATATTTAGATGGGTGGAAAATGATTGCAGAGTGCTATGAGCAAGGCATGCTAGGAGTTAATCCTGATAATTTTGGATAGCCATAAAACATTCCTTGACGGCACCACCAAGGGGGAAGGAGTTAAGCGAGAGCATGTCTTCTTTGGTGACCGTATGAAAGGCATAGTACTCTTTGATCTTTGGAATCTGTTTCGAGGTTTCTGTTCGAAATAGCAAGAGTTCCCTACTATAATCTCCTTTTAAAGAGTTTTTTGATGGAATGGTAGAAGACAGAATGTCTGAGTGAGATAATATCAGTGTTGGATGTTCATGTTTCATTTCAAGAATTGAAAGTTGCAATTGGACATCTTACATCATTGTGACTAGGTTGTGGACTTGCCATTCCAAAGATGGATTGTTGTCATTGATGTTGGCTTTGGAGTAGATGTTATCCACTATTGATAGATTGGATGCAAATGGAAGAGCGATTGTGCTGAAGGAATCAACGAGAGCACCAAATGATAGCACCCCAGCTGAGTGGATTGGTGGTGACAGGTAACCGTCACCTTTGAGCCTTGCTAGAGAGTTCTAAGGGTGAAAAAGGGGAAGAGAAGAAGAATTCAGGGAAGAAAAGAGAAGGAAGGTTAAACATTTTCCATATCTTTTCATTCCCTGTAATTAGAATTTATAGCAACTTGTCAAACCATATTCCTACTTGACCAATGATTATTTGGCAATTGTACCACAAGCAAATAAAATCCTAACAAAGTGAATCGGCCATAAAAGATATTTGTAAGTTTTTTTGCAAAAATGAAAATAATTTTATTACTTGTCCATGTGGATGTCCTAGCACACGAGATCTTCGCAGCCTAGTCATCCATGGGTTTACATTCTCTCCATTGTTCATTGAGCTGCTACCGCTAGGGATTTGGATACAACTGCCAGCGTCCTAACAATAATATTTTAATGGGGACATCAGATCATCAGGGAAAGTTTACCAGAGACGTGGCTGCCGATCTACGGCCACGATCGAGTCGTTATATTTTTTAGTCATCGATGTATTTTATTTTCATGTATTTTGTTATTTGCTTATGTGTGTTTTATTTTTTTCCCGTTGTACCCCTCTTATGGGAGTTGTTGTTTGTAAGCCCAAAGGGCATTAGTGTCATTTTGTTTAGAGTCATTTGTATGAGGCTATTTAAAGCCCCCCTTTGTTTTATTTGAGGTTTTATTTGAGGTTAATGAATGATTATTGAGATTTCTTCCTGCACTTGTGTTTTTGAGAGCCTTGAGAGTTCTTGGAAAGTTTTGGAGAGATCCCTTGGAGAGGGAGATTGGCGCATCACCCACCAACCTTGGAGACGGCCGGGTTCGTGGTTTTATTTTTGTCTTCTCTTCTTCCCTTGGCCGAAACCCCTTCACCCCACTTCGCCTTGCCGCCGGATTCTCCACTCCACCCGAGCCACTTCATCCACTCATAACCCACGGTCAAATCACCCTACCCAACCCTCAATACCGCCGGCCTAATGCATTAGCCGTCGGCCTCCCATCCCCTTTGCCTCTTTATTGTATTTCCTAATTTAAGGTTGGGATTAATTGGGGTAATTTGAAATTCAAATTCACCAAAATTTGAATTCAAATTGTTTCCTAAATTAACTCTTCTATTTTAGGAAAGTATGTGATTTAAATCTATTTTGAATTTTAAGTTCAAGAGGATTTCAATTAACTATTTCCTAATTCTAAATCCTAAATTAGGAATCCTTAATTGCTCTCAATTAATCTCCCATCACCCATATATGCCGCAGGCCCCTAGGGGAACAAATTAGGATTTATTTCCTAACGGTTCCATAAGCTTATTTGGAAATATTTCAAATTATCTCTTGTTCCTTTGGCTGAATTTTTTCAAACCCGTAATCCCTTTAATCCCTTTCCAATTTCATTCCTTCTGATTGGGAAAGGAATTCCCTGTCAATACATTTTGCCGCCACCAAGCCCACCCCATACCCGTCTCCTCTATTTTCCCAAATTCCCATCCTTCCCTCTAAATCTTCTCTTGAGAATTCTCTGCATACAGTTTCTTCCAAGTGGCTTTCCTCTTCTCCTTAGAGAAATATGAGATTTTCTCTCAGGTTTTGGGCCAGAAAATCTGAAAATCTTTTCAGATTTTGGAAGGATTTGGATTACTTCTTCAGCACACTATGAAGAGAACATCTTAGTCCGTCGACCTTGGATATTCGTCAAGAGTAGTTGCCATCACGGAGGATCTCCACGTCTCCTTGAGCAAAGGTTTTTTCCTTCTTTCACTTGCACTCAAAGTCTTCTAAATCTAAGTTCTCATTTGGTTAGATTGCAATCGCTAAGGCCTACTCTGAATGCTCTTGCCAAGCCTAGTCATTTGTAGGAATTGAGTGTAATCTTCTATGCATCCTACGTCTCGTTGTTAGATTAGGGATTTAATTTGAAGCCTACTGTTTGCGTTGTGTGATTTTCTTATTTATTTTGAAAGTTTCAAAGTTCAGAGCATGTAATCTCACTTAAGCAAGTCATTTCCTTATTGGTTTTAAATCTTCGTTCAGAATTGCTAAGTAATTGTTTCCTGGATTTATTCTAATCTAAGAGTTGTGCAGTGCCTAAATGACTACATAATCATCGCATCTAATTAGTCCTGCATCATCTGGTATCAGAGCATGGTTTGCTCTAGTTTTGCATGCTAGACATCATCCTAGGAGTTATTTTACTAGTTTTATACGTTGTTGCATGCATGCTATCATTTAAATTAGTTTAATTACATTTTATGCTTGCTGTCCACTGTTTTCCTGCATGCATTTAGAGGTGGTTAAGCTCATTTATCAATTGTTCAAGTGCTGTCCTTAACCTAGCCACTTCACTAGTTGTCTAGGTTGCTTAGGCCCTCCTTGTAATTTGCTGTCCTTGAGTTTCCAGCACCTTTCAGAGTCCCCTTAGAGTGTTTTTCCCTACTGTAGATTGCTGGCCACTTCCTAGAAAACCTTTTCAATACCCCATTGTGTTTAGGAATGGACCCGGAACAACTAGGGAGGACTTTAGACCCATTGGTAGGCCAAATGAACAATATTAGCCAACAACTTAGGAAAACCAGTCGGATTTAGCTGAGCTTCGTAGGAATACCACCGAGAGATTTGATACACTTGAACGAGCTAGAGACCACCCGACTCCCTACACCCCATCTAAACCACCGTCTATGTATGGGGAAGAAACCTACCCGGATGAGAGGCCACATCAGGCCAATCATCGAGCTCCCGACCATGGACATGATCCACGTCATGATCCTGATTTGGATGAGAGGCATCACCGTGCCAATCATCGTACTACCTACCAAGTCCATGATCCCGATGCACTACTAATGAAGAACATTAAGGTTGACGCTCCTACCTTTGATGGCACCCTCGATCCCCAGCTCTTCCTGGACTGGGTCAAAGGTATGGACAATTTCTTTAAGTGGTATGCCATATCTGAGGCTAGGAAGGTTAGTTTTGCAGCTATGAAACTAACGGGTAGGGCGAGTCAGTTTTGGGCGAACTTAGAGAGTCTTAGAGAAGATAGGAATGAGTACCCTATTGTAGATTGGCTATCCATGAAGCGGGAACTCAAACAAAAGTACTTGTCACCGTCGTACTTCTCTCGACTATTGGATAGGTGGAATAGGCTGACTCAAGGCAATAAACCAGTTAAGGAGTGCATCGCCTCCTTTGATGACTACCTGATTCGATGCAAAGGGGAGACCTCTACCACCCCCGTGCAAATCTTGTCTATGTTTCGAACCGGGTTGCGAGAGGATCTTCGCAATGAGCTGTTTTCCCGGAACGTCACAACCCTGGAGAATGCCTACAGCCTAGTGTTTGACTTAGAGGAGACCCGTTCACAGCACCCGAACCGTTCACATGATTCTAGTCCCTCCTACAGACCTTCTGGTAGTTCTACCCCTCACACCCCCACTGCCCAGCCGACCCCAGGGAGCAACACCCGACCCTCGTCTGGTCCCCCTACTCCCCGTCCTGATGTTAGCAGTAAGCCTCCCACTCCGGATACTCCTCGATCTAACCCAGGGACCAAATCCTTTAGATGTCAGGGGTATGGACATATCGCCTCTCAGTGCTCTAGTCCCTATAAAGTCACGATTATCGAAGAGATCACTGAAGAGGAATTTGAGCCCGAAGCCGATCAGATTCACCAAGTAGACAGCGACGGTGAATTCTTTGAGGAGGATGACAATACTGTTGTCATCCAGTACATCCAGAAAATCGACACTTCTCCCACCTATGAGGTGAGATGTGCTTTTTCACAACCCGTTACCACCGACGACTGGCGTAGGACTACGATCTTTCACACCTACACCAAGATCAAGGATAAGAACTGTAAAGTCGTCGTGGATAGTGGCAGTTGCATAAATGCTTTCTCCTCCAGCATGGTGTCTAAGCTTGGTTTGTCTGCCGTTCCCCACCCCAACCCCTATAAGGTAAATTGGGTCAACAACACTGCCTTGGAGGTAAAGGAACGAAGCGTCATACCCATCTCCTTCGCTGATTATAAGGAGAACGTTTGGTGTGATGTGTTGATCATGAATGTTGGACAAATCCTTCTCGGTCGTCCCTGGCTATTTGACAACGATGTCCACATCTATGATCGTTCAAACAACTGCGTGTTTGAACATAAGGGCAAAAAGATCAAGCTGGACTATCAAAACCAAGAAAGGACTGAACTTGATAATCACTATAGCCCAGACTGCACCTTTTCACATCTTAGTCGATCGTGAGACTCCCACTGAGTCTGACGAACCTGTCCCTCATGAGAGTCAACTCATACCTAGTAGATTTGTTGAGATCCATCCTGATGGTCGTCCTGATTCGTTACCCCCGATAGAGGCATTTCTTATGTTCTAGATCTAGCCCCTGGAGCCTCCCTATCTGATCATATCCTAGTTGGACTCGACTACCATGATTCCGTGACTTGTACCCTTGGCTTAGCTCCTTCTAAACTTGTTGACGGGTTCACACCTAGACCGCCACTAGACCTTATATCCATGTGTTCTAGGTATAGAAATTTTGAGTCTGCATCTTTATTTTCATTTCATATGCATGAACTTCATAAAGACATTGCACAACAAATTGAAAAGAATAATCATGAATACAAATTACATTCAGATTTAAAACGTCGATTTAAAACTTTTGAGGTTGGTGATTTTGTTATGGTGCGGATTCGTCCGGAACGGTTCCTTCCAGGAACAGTTAAGAAATTGCATGCAAAGAGTGCTGGACCTTTCAAGATCCTTAAGAAGATTAACGACAATGCTTATATAGTAGATCTGCCTGCAGATTTCAATATAAATCCCTCCTTTAACATAGAAGACTTAGTGGCATATGAAGGTCCTGATTTTAACCCACAAAATCTACTATCAAAACAGCCTTGTGTGAACCCACCCTGTGAGATCCCAAAGCTACCTCCACTACCAAATATTCTCAAATTTCCTATGGCAAAACAAGTGGAGGCAGTCTTAAGTGATCAGATCATATCCACAAGAGAAGGAGGACAAAGAAGATATTTGATCAGGTGGAAAGGAAAGCCCGAGTCAGAGGATACGTGGCTAGATCGTGAGGAGCTGCAGCAGATTGACCCAGATGCACTTGAGATCTACGAGAGCGCCAGAGATACTTACTCGACGGAGTCGAGTTTTCTCCCACCCCGGGAGAATGATAGGGACAACAGATCATCAGGGATAGTTTATCAGAGATGTGGCTGCCGATCTACGGGCACGATCGAGTCGTTATATTTTTGAGTCATCGATGCATTTTATTTTCATGTATTTTGTTATTTGCTTGTGTGTTTTATTTTTTCCCGTTGTACCCCTCTTATGGGAGTTGTTGTTTGTAAGCCCAAATGGCATTAGTGTCATTTTGTTTAGAGTCATTTGTATGAGGCTATTTAAAGACCCCTTTGTTTTATTTGAGGTTAATGAATGATTATTGAGATTTCTTCCTGCACTTGTGTTTTTGAGAGCCTTGAGAGTTCTTGGAAAGTTTTGGAGAGATCCCTTGGAGAGGGAGATTGGCGCATCACCCACCAACCTTGGAGACGGCCGGGTTCGTGGTTTTCCTTTATTTTGTATTCTCACCTTCCTCTCTTCGAGTCTCCTCACCCTCCTCCACCTTGCCGTCGGTTTCTCCACCACACCCGACCACCTCTCCTCCCAAAACCCACGGTTTTCCCCTTACCCGGAAACCACCACCGTCGTTTCCACAAACCGCCGGCCACCTTGCCCCAAAACCTCTTTTGCCGCCGGCCTAGCCTCAATGCCGCCGGCCACACCCCACTTCCATTCATTTTTGAGTTCCCTAATGAGATTTTCTCTCAGGTTTTGGGCCAGAAAATCTGAAAATCTTTTCAGATTTTGGAAGGATTTGGATTACTTCTTCAGCACACTATGAAGAGAACATCTTAGTCCGTCGACCTTGGATATTCGTCAAGAGTAGTTGCCATCGCGGAGGATCTCCACGTCTCCTTGAGCAAAGATTTTTTCCTTCTTTCACTTGCACTCAAAGTCTTCTAAATCTAAGTTCTCATTTGGTTAGATTGCAATCGCTAAAGCCTACTCTGAATGCTCTTGCCAAGCCTAGTCATTTGTAGGAATTGAGTGTAATCTTCTATGCATCCTACGTCCCGTTGTTAGATTAGGGATTTAATTTGAAGCCTACTGTTTACGTTGTGTGATTTTCTTATTTATTTTGAAAGTTTCAAAGTTCAGAGCATGTAATCTCACTTAAGCAAGTCATTTCCTTATTGGTTTTAAATCTTCGTTGAGAATTGCTAAGTAATTGTTTCCTGGATTTATTCTAATCTAAGAGTTGTGCAGTGCCTAAACGACTACATAATCATCGCATCTAATTAGTCCTGCATCATATTTCCTACTAGATCATTTTTATCTTCTCAACATTTTCATTTCACATCTGCAAAGTAATATGCCGTGTAATCCTAAATATTATGTTTAAAAACATGAAATAAGGCTTGAAAAGCAAGGCCATGTAGCATGTCATCTTTTTTTCATCTCATTTCTATTTCAGTCTTGTTTATATATTTATTTTAAAGAAATTATAAACATGTGTCATAAGTTATGGAGGAATAAAAACAGAACTATTTACTTGTGTTTAATTATTAAAAGAAAGATAAATAGTTTTATTTAATCAGAAAATCTAAAGAGACATTTTATCAAGATTTTAAAAAATTTAAATGCCCTTTTCATTTAAATATATTATAAATACATTCAAAATTGCATACATAAAAAAAATAAAATGCTACTACTAATATCCAATAAATTTAAATACTAATAAATAATGTAAAATTTATGGCAAAGTTTCATAAAGAATTAAAATCAATTTAATCATACATTTCACATATTTTCATCGGGTAAATTATAGGATTATTAGATAATGCCAGAATTACTTTTTACCTACACACAATCCAGCAATTAATTTATAATGATATATAATATAAGTTAATTGTTCATAATATACTATTACATTATTATAACAATAGTTAAAAATAATATCGAATAATACAAGAAATTACTTTCTCGGTTAATTTTATTGATTAGTTGAGAACAAAAAATGGTTCTTCATATAAATATAATGTTTAAATAATATCGTATATATAATCATAAAATCAAATGGTATTGTAATGAACATAATATATAAAACCGAAACTTCTATTCCTATTCAATAACAAGAGAAAAGAATAATATTTCATGACATTACTAATTTGCTATAAGAATTAATATTTTAAAAAGTTGAAGTATTAAAATAATGTTCAAAAAACAAATGTAAAGTATTATAATGGTTTCATCTAAATTTCAATAAACAAGTACAGGGAAAAGGTTCATCCAAACATGTTTTCAGACATGCTTTCTGTTTCTAGAAAAACAAAAAAAGAATAAAACAAGAAAGATGACAAAAATAGCTCAAGATTTTTCACCATGCTGTAAGGTTTCATAGCTCCAAATATAGAAATATCCAGCCTTCATTCTTATCAGTATTTTTTTGCATATGATACTATAGAACAAAATACTTTATCTTATATAGACGAAATGTACCGTCAGCAATTATGCAAGACACTTAACAGTTAACACTGCAATGTTAACAGTTATATACCTGAATAAGAACTGTTACAACGTTCATCTTTAGCATTCTATCAGTTGCATGAAAGCAGTTCGATATCAATCCCAAAGAAATTGCAGAGGACCACTGGTGGTGTTCATGCTCGGAATCAACTAACCAATTGAGAAGGAAGTCTGACGCAGAGCATATAACAGCATAAGATGATGAAGGAACCACCTATACACAAGGAGAAAAAGAAGAAAAAAAAAATGATACAAAAAACGGCATTCTTGTACATTCATCTATGTTGCTTTCTTGATTAAAAAGATAAAAGGTAATGGTCAGATGCAGTTTATCAAAATAATTTTGGCAGGGATATACGAACCCCAGACCAGCTTAAATTTATGTTTGTTACATAGAGGATTTCGTAGTGTTGAAGTTGATATGGAGACACCTCATGCACGATGAGCAAAAGTATCATGCAACTTACCCAATCAAAACAAGAAAGATGCACCCGTTTATGGTGGTAGAGGGTCGTTGGTCATCCTCCGATGACCAGAATACCTCAACCCCATCATCTACGTCGCGTCTGAATCATTTGGATGCAAAAGGTAGATTCTCAATCAATCGTAGTTTCTCTCGGAATTCATATTTCAGGAATTCTCCTTTAATTATTAGAGAAGGTCGAATTGAAGCCAGTCATAAGCTTCTTCCCGATGGTAGCAAAGGGAAAGAGGCAGTTTTAGCGAATTGTTTGGATCATAAGGTTCCTTTATCTATGTTGGATAGTCGCCAAACCGAAGCTCTTTGTTCGGATTTTCTTCCTAAATCAAATGATTTGGAAGCTTCTTCTTCATCTACAGGATTTAATTTGAAGGTGAGCCATTATATTGATAGATGTTATAATTCTGTTGAAGCCTTTGAGAAAGATCCGCCTTCCATTTTGCTGGAATATAAAAATAAATCAGTTTTGGTGGAACCTGATTTTAAACATTCTAATGTGTGGATCAAAACTCCACATATTAAAATAAATTTTAAAGGAATTTTGGAAGAAAATGAGGATATGAATGTCGTAAAACTTGATGTGGAGAAAGAAAGCTCTAATTTTTTAGTTTTGAGAAATTCTTTGGTTGTTAAAATCCTTGGCAAAAACTTGCCTTTTTCCATTTGTAGTCATGAGTTGAGATGACAATGGAGTAAATTTGGTGGGTTTCATATATACTCTCTTGGGTTAGATTGGTTTTTGTGTTCGTTTCATTCATCTAAAGCTATGGAGGAAGTTTTAAATGGGGGTCCTAGGTTTGAGGGTGGTTTCATTGTTGGTATAGATAAATGGACACCCGCTTTTTCTCCCATTTCTGTGGAGGAAATTTCTTCATCTATTCGGATTCGATTGCCTCATTGACCTCTTCATTGTTGGGATGAAGTTAACATTACAAAGATGATATAGGCAAAGGGGGGTTCAAATCAAACCCAAAAAATTTGGTTTTGACTTCCCTTGTGCTTGCTAGCTCATTAATTTTTGTGCTAAAATTTAGCTCATTATGAGATGTTTTTAGTTCATTTATTAGTCATTATTACTTGGAATTGTCTCTTCCTTTCCCCTCTTTCTTCTCCCATGCTTGTCCCTTGGATTTCCAAATATGGCTATTGGGTTCCTGTGTATTGT